GGCGAACCCGGCCGGTCCGGTACCGGAACCGCCGGTCCTGGAACCGGAACTGGTACCGGCCTGCACGGTGACGGTTCTGGTTACATGGGGTGGCGGTACCGGAACCGGAACCGTCCCGGAACCGTACCGTGTCCACCCCTACTCATACATAATCTATTCACAAACTGCCAATACCTTATGCATTTTAACAAACTTTTTCTCCTAATGATGAGTACATTTCACATATTTCCATGAACTTCTCAAACCAATGACGTTTTTTCTATTCACATAGATGAACACAACATATTTTCAATAAATCAAGAATTGTTTTTGAGCTTAAATAACCTCAATTTAATGAAAATAACAAAGAAGCACATGAAAACATACCAACAATCACTTAATAACGAATTCTAAGAAAAATGAATCAACTTATGGGGCTAAGAAGTCCAAAATTCTTAAAATCAACAAACACAAATCACAACAAAGAATCACGTATGAATTCGGAGTTCATTTAACTACCTTATGGAGCTAAAATAGCTTCAACAAAAAACCAAATTCCACATATCTACGTACTTATGAAATTAGTTATACAATTCAACCAATTCAACAACAATTTGCTCAATAATTGAAGAAAAACTAGTTTGAATCAATTCTCATTCATAAGAGATTTAATATAAACTTAAACAAAACCCTAAAACAAGGACACCAACCATTTTTGGAATTTTATGAAATAAACACAACAAGCAAACAAACATGTAAAAATTGAACAAAAAACAAACTTTTACATAGAATTGGAGAACAAAAAAAATTAGTTACCAAATGTTGAAGAAGATGAAGAAATTGAAGAAGTTGGAGTTGGGGGAACCATTGCTGGCTTGTCACCACCGAAGCTGCTGCCACGCCGGTCATCGTCAACCGCCGGCCACTGCGCCACGGCTTGAGCCGCGGCTCTCTCACTCGTCGTTTTCTCCCTCTCGTTTTTCCCCCTCGTTTTTTCCCCCAATTTATAGCATGAGGATTCTTCCCGTTGGATAAAGAGAGTAATTGGAGAAAGACGTTGATGCTCTTAACTTGGGGCGAATTTGAAGGAGGAACGTTGGAGCATCCGTTGACGAAGAAGAAGTCGTCGCAGGATTTTTTTCTTTCTTTCTTGCGTTACGTGAGACTGAAGAGGAGAGGGAGGTGCTGGGCTCATCTTTTTTTGCTGATGGGTTTGGGCTTCGGCCCAAAATCAATCTCCTCTTTTCAAACTTGAACTGCATTTTGGTCTTTTGCTACATTTTTTCTCCAAAAATAAGATATCTGATAACTTGGGTTAGAAAGAATAAAATAAAAGATTCACTACAAGAATTTCAGCTTTTTGCAACGGAATATTTTCGTCGCAATTGGCTTCTTTTCTCTCGCATTTGATCAAGTGTTTTCTCTTTAAATACCTATTTTGTTCATACGCGAATACAGAAGGATCAGACTCTGTATCAACTATCGTTAATTAAACAAATCCTTATCCTTTACTTCGTATCATGACTTATTTGATCATCTTAGAGGATCCATTGTGTTCTCTAAGATTGACTTACGGTCAGGATACTATCAATTCCTGTTAAGAAATTGATCATGAATCGCTACCCTTTACTACGAACTGACAACTTGTTCGGTCAAGTTCAAAGAACCTGCTTGACAGATCAACCTTGTTGATCGAATTGGCGCCTTGTTATGAAGCAACTAATGACCTAATTGCTTATCGTCGGAAACATTAGTGAAATAAAGTAATGCTGACAAGACAAATAGTTAAGAAAATTTACTCGTTCGTATATGCTGTTGAAAGATCGCGACCGTGGTGACGATACAAAACATGACGTGAAACAGTGACACCAACAATGAAAGACTAAAGAATAAAGAAAATGTAGTTGCACTGACCATACAGCTTAGAATAATATTTATGACTATCTCGTAATGTTCAAAGACGATATTATTTCAACACAAAATACAACATGGATTACATGAGGAAAGTTACAAATGCAATTCTAAGTCTAATCTCTCAGGATTTACAAACTCGTCATAGCTAGCCCTAGGACCCGGGAAAGTTTAGCAAACTCTAATTTGTCTAAAAGCTCACCAACAAAGAAAGAAGAAATGAAAAGTTTCCTCTGACTCAAAGACGTGAAGTTCTGCCTCACTGCATCGTCTAGAAATTTGATTAGGTTATTGAAATAACCGTCAATGTTCAAGAGACCAATGGGTCTATTGTGTAACCCTTCAGAAGCCCACGAGATCAAGCTGAACAAACCTTCCATAGTGTCAACTCCTCCGGGAAGAACGATGAAAGCTTCCACAACATGATTCATCTCAAAATATTTGTAGTAATTGCTGGAAACTGTGTGCTCTACGCCATATGTAGGTTCGTAGACCATCGTGTTGCTACGTACCCAGGAATGAAACCTCTAACGAGACCACCATTGGTAAAGACTGTTGAAGCAACAACTCCTTGTAGGCCAACATTGCCTCCTCCATAAGCAAGACTAATTCTTCGCCTTATCAATTCTCTTCCTAAATCTACCGCAGTAGCCATAAACTTTGGATTTCTACCAAGAGAATGACTGCCAAGTAGACCAACAAATCTTATGGTGTAAGGAAGTGTTCGAGAAGTTCCTTCCATAATGTGAGAATGTGAGATACTCTTCCCATATTCGTGATATATATATATATATATATATATATATATATATCTGTGTGTGTGTATGTATATATAGTCTCTGAAACCTGACCATTGATGGAAAAGTAATTATCACCAGCCAAAATACGTACAGAAAAGTGAATTTCTTCAACTATCTACACACGAAAGTGTACTCATCAATACTGTAGTCTACTGACAATGTGATATGTTGAGACCAATGAATAGTTAGATTTGTTGTCCTGAAATATGTCCAAACCCGAGACGAAAAGTCAAAATGGCTATTCCTAAGACAACGACCTATTGAGTAACTTCCAAAGAGTGAAACATTGAAGGAAGAAAACCTATGATTAGTAATGGTAAGTCGCAAACACTATCTTTGTATCTTGTGACTCACATCCTTGAATGACTCAACTTGCTGTGTTAACTTCACCCTTGAAATACCTCGCTTGATCAATCTTGAATTCCATTCTTTGTGTCAAAATACTAAAACCACGATTCTTCATTAAACCAAAGATGCTTCATGATACCGATCTTTGAAAACTATAGTCTGTGAACTACGTGACTCGATCACAATAGTAAAACTACCCTGACTTGAACATTATGTTAAACCTCTCTAGGGAACTGCTGCGAAACAGTTAATGCGATTACGTTACCTATGAAGATTATTATCAAGAAACTCTGTTTTGACCCTAACAAAGGAATATATGTGCAACGACCAGAGAAGAAATGACGTCACAAGGATCAAGCTAAAATTATTCAGAGCGAAAATCCCCAACCTATAAATAATATTGGAGTAAGAACTAGTAAGATTTCTTACTTTATGAATTCGTGAATTGAATCTCATACCGAATATATTTCCTTCTTCACTCGAAATGAAATCAACCATAGTGTTACATCAAACCCGTCATTATCAAGAACGTATCTGGATATATTCCAAAATCGATTAAGAAAGTTGAATACGACAAGACATATATGAAACGCCACTCTAATGTTATCACATGTGGATACGAATTAATGCAAAGACTCATTAACGATAATGAGATCTACCATGAAGTGAACGAAGAAATGTTTCGGCATAAGGTCGATAAATGACAAACTACTGTACAACCGATCAATAGTACCTCCTCATAAATGATGACAAATCCCATATTATGAAAATCCTAAACCAATAAAAGCCATTAGATATTACTTACAAGTCGTTGCTGAACTGTGAACGATGTGAAGATGTTTTGATGACTTAGACGATTACGCTATGACACATGAATTAAACAACCTCCAAATCTTCCACTACAACTGTCGCGAACTTGAAACTACAAATGCTACTGAAGGACTTTCAATCAAAGAAAGAATGTTGTTGACTAATCGAGACTTGTGAATGAACGAATTGAGGTGCAAATATGTCACATATGCTCCAAAATACAATGTTATACCCTGCAAAGGAACTTGGTTATGAATGTTAAATCTGAACGGGAACCTGCAAAAAGGATCATTGGATACCTTGCTTAATCCAAGATTGTTAACCTCTTGAAAAACGAACGAGTTTAATAACACCGACAGTTGAGATTACATATCCATGTGGATAATGACGTAAAACCAAGTGAACATGACACCATCATGATTAAGTAAGATCACTACGAAATGTTGAATATTTGGCTTGAGAAGAATTTCGAGGACGAAATTCCTTTTAAGGGGGGGGGGGAGAAATGTAACGCCCCAAAATATACCCTAGAATTATTAATGAATAATTATTCAAGTAATCAAATTATTTTGATTAATAATAGTAATAATAATAATTGTTATTGGGCTTTGGGCCGAAATGAAATATGTTTTAATATTCAATATCAAAATCTGGATAAGTCTCATAGAGATAAATCCAATATGTTGACTTATTGTGTGACCTTACTTGGGAACCTGAGTACAGACTCAAATCAAGGATAAATGAAGAAATTTGTTTATAATGTGAACTTTGAAATAATTTATTGAAATAAATCATGAGAACAAATGATACGAATTAAATGTGAGAACCTTTTTGAATAAAGGTCAAATAATGTCAAAGTCAAACAATGGTACTGAATTTAGTCCCAATCAAGGACTTGCGTTTGGAATCGGAGAAATATCGCAGCCCGCTCCACTAGTCGCCCGAACAGGAAACCACACATCACCCTTGGCAGCATCCTTCACCATTTTCCTATATAAGGACCATCTCCATTCTTTCAATTTCTCACCATTTCTTACAAACTTTCTGTCTATTCTGTTGCTGGGGGTGAGGAGAGCGCAGTGGTGCTGTCATATTGGTGTGAAGTCACCGGAGATAGCTACAATTCTCGCCAGAAGTTTTGCCGGAAAATCTTCAAAACCTCCATTAAGCTTCGAGGTAAGCCCGTAGATATATCTAGTGACTAGAATGTTCATATAGATCGTTTCTACATTCATAAACGGTTGTTTGGTTGAGTTTTGTGTTTGACATGCTTGAAGAACCAAGAATCATAAACCATTTAATTGATGTTAAAACTATGAATTAATGATGCCAAAATGATCTATGAACCTAGGAGAACATCTCTATATAGTTTCGTTGAAGTTCGGTAACTAAAAACGGTATTTTCGAAATCGAACCCGAACGAAGAAGAAAATGAACAGTAACCAAAAACTAGACTGTCTGGATCGATCCAATGGCCTGGATCGATCCTCTAGGACTATTTTCTTTACATATGGATCGATCCACCCCCGAATTTCTGATTCGAAAATTTGTCCGAAAATGCTATTTTTGAGCTCTAAAATCCTATTTTTGATACCAATTGATTATGATTATTTTAAGGATGATTCTTCACAATAAAAATGATGTTTTTAACGAATAAAAATGTTATGTGATGCATGACGGTAAGTTCGGGTGTTAACACTTGAAACTAGACTGCTATTTGTTATCAATTGATATGTTGATTGATGATTATGATGAATGATTATTATGGATGATTATGAATGATGAACTTACTGATTAAAATTATTACTTATGATTGAACCATGAGTAAATTAAATATATTGATAATTATTAAACGATTTGTATTGTTAAGGGTTCTAGAAGACCTCTAAGATATACTCATATTAATGTTGATTTGAAAGGTATCTAGAAGACCTCTAAGATATACCTATTTAAGTTAGGCCTTGCGGGTATGAACCCCGGTGGCTAGGGTTAAAACGTACGTACGGGATCCAAGAACCAAACTTGAGTACCTACTCGTTTGGGGGTACCACCCACCCAACAGTGAACACTACGCTNTCTAGAAGACCTCTAAGATATACTCATATTAATGTTGATTTGAAAGGTATCTAGAAGACCTCTAAGATATACCTATTTAAGTTAGGCCTTGCGGGTATGAACCCCGGTGGCTAGGGTTAAAACGTACGTACGGGATCCAAGAACCAAACTTGAGTACCTACTCGTTTGGGGGTACCACCCACCCAACAGTGAACACTACGCTATAGGTTTCTGGTTGGCCTTAAGTGAAGGTAAGTTTAAGATTTTCAAAACCCTTTTATCTTAAACTAGGCCTAGCTTAAAAATTATTTAGGAGTACTCTATACTGGAATATAGTTTAATTATTTAAACTAGAATTCATTTAAGGGTTGATAAACATTAAAGTGATTGGCCTTAAGACTAAGAATAGTTTAAGGATATTGTCGAATGTTGAATATTGAATATGAATGAATATTGAATGATGATTATTGAATTGAATATTGTGATTATTATAAATGACAGATGACCATTGAATATGAATGAATATTAATTATTGAATTGAATATTGTGAATATTATGAATAACCAATGAACGTCGAATGTGAATATAAATGTTGAATAATGAATGATGAATACTGACTAATGATTATTGAATATCTGAAATGAACATTATGTGCATGATATCAAATGATTTGATTATGAATTTAGATTCAGTTTATATGGATGTTCGACGCATTAGATATGCTTACTTAGCTTCAACGCTGAGCGTGTAGTATGTTTTATTTGGTACACGCAGGTTAATAGAAAGAATGAAGTGACGTGATTCTGGAGGCATACGGAGGCGAGATTGTTGGAATGGATGTGATGGTTTTGATTTAAAGAACATAAATAAATTATGTTTGTGATTATGATTTGTTAAGATTCCGCAATATTGAAAAATCCGTACTGTTTATATTATGAGTAATATTATTATGATAAATAAAAGTGTTTGAAATGTTTTAAATTTTGACGATTACCAAGTTAATACTTTAGTCTAAAAGGGGCTGTAGACCTGGACGGATTAGGGTGTTACACCACCATGCATCCCCAAGTTCCCTTTGTAGCCACCCAGTGAAGGAGGAAGGCGAGGGCTAAAGGGAGGGGGGAGAGGGTGTGGGGGGTAAGAGAATGTTAGTAGAGAATAGAAACTATCAATTTTATCAATAGAACTTCGTAGAAGGCTTAAGTCATCTTATAACATTCAAATCAAACGTCACATAAACCGTCACAATAACTTACTATTTATTCTTATCAGAATCAGATCAAATTAGATTAGAAACAATTTTAGTATAATTATATTTAGATTAAATCAAATTTAATTTGAATGAGATCAAAACCATTCTGAATAAAGTGTAAAATTGATTTTGCTTACTCGTCCTCACAATGTCTAATAGACTTTGAGTCTTAGCTTTTTACTCTGTATAAAGCAATTCCCTTCGCCGGCTCTTCGTTCCCGATTCTCCGTATCTGTTCTGAGCAGCGGATCGTGGAAAATGGCATCCCAAGACCACTTGAACAAGATGCAGCTCCGTCAGAACTATCGCAATTTATGGCACACTGATCTTGTGAACACCATCAAAGCTGACACTCCTTGTGCGCTTACTCTCTCTCTCTCTCTCTCTCTCTGGCCGCGCCACCGCGCGTGCCTACATTTAGTTGGTTATGCTTAATTAGTTTCCCTGCACTTGTTTAACCGTTTTAGTTTTCGGGTTTTTTTTGCAGATTGCTGTTTTGCGTTGTGGTGGTAGGTGAAGTGATCTTATTTATTCCAAATTTAGTACTTGATCTGTCATTCGGCGTTTCAGTGCAAATATTGTGCAGTATGACTTAGGAAATTGTGCTCAGATGTAGTGTAATTCACCAATTGGACTTGTTACGCTCTATTACTCCGATGACCCAGAGCAGTCCCATCAGAGTATTGATCCATACCCGCTGTTTTGGCAATTGTGTCCGAGATTAAAAGCAAAATTTTCTGCTGTTAGAGCACTGCTGCCATTTTTATTGATTATATGTGGCTAGTGTTGAGATTTGAGAATTGTTAGTTCCATGAGATTTGAAAAAATCCTATTTGTTAAGAGTTTGACCAAGTAGAACGTGATGGATTTTCAATAAACATCCTGTGACATAGGTCAAGAATAGAATAGCTGTGCGGAAATGTGGGTTGTGATATGTCAAATTAGGCATGAGAGATGTTATGGGTGATTCATTGACCCACACCGGTCAAATGGGGACTTGGTGATGGGCTTATATAGCCGAGTATTCTCTCACCTTAATAGCTAGCTTTTGTGGTGTAGCTCTTCCTTGTGCTGTATCAATGGTATCAGAGCTGTGAGACGACGAAGTAGTGGCCTGGGAAACCAGCCGTTTCCAACATGGCCGTGACCAACATAGCTGTGACCAACGAGGACGTTGGTCCTTATGCGGGGTGGAATGTTACGGCTGATTCATTATCCCACACTAGTCAAATGGGGGACTTGGTGATGGGCTTATAACACCAAAAGTTCTCCCACATTAATAGCTAGATTTTGGGGTGTGACTCTGCCTTGTGCTGTATCAAGAGATCTAAAAGGAACTGATAAGAGTTACTGGAATTTATTAGTTATTTTTCCAGCTGGTATTTTAGAGTTCTAATATTAATTGTAGGTTAGGATTAATAAAGTTGTATTCAAGACAACTTGTAGTAATCAATTCCAAGCATACTTGAGGTTTTTAATATGCTAACTATACAAAATAGAAGACTAGGGCATTATCGGAGTGATCGAGAGGGATAATAGAAGAAGACATGCAGATGAAAGAGCATGCATACCCGTCGTGTTCCGGAGTCATCTTTGTGCAAAGATCTTGATCAACATCAAGAAGAAAATCTTCAATATATGAAGATTGTGATATCGGATGAAATTGAGGTGAACGGAGAGTTGCCAACCGTGTCTGTCAATGATACCTTAGTGGAAATGTGATAGCCGTACAGGATATAGATTAGAAATCTTAGATTAGAGGTTTTGTCATAACAATTTGGAGAAGATCATGTTGTTTATGATTGGTGTAACCTGCATCTATTGATTTAGTGGAGGGCTATTACACGAATGTAGGCCCCTGCAAATTAGTAGAATTTCTCCAAATTGTGTAAACATACCAGATGTCATTACTTTAGACTTTTTTCTTTCTGCATTTTGCCATAGGTTGTTACAGCAGATGCTATAACACCACTTGAGTAATCTTTTTCTGTGTGCTTATTTTCAAAGTTCAAATTTGATTTTAAATTAGGACACCTCTCTTGGATATTTCAAGAACCTGTGGATGCTAGACTATATTGATGTTTGCTTATATTTCTTGTACTTGAATACTGAATGTCATCAAATATAGACTTTTTTAATTTGATGAATGGATAGCATGCCATTTTAGAGAAGAGCAATGCTTCAATGTTGATATGTCAGTTAATTCATGACTCTTTGGGTATGGTTGTTATGACTAACACCCCAAGTGGCATCTATGTTTGTACACATAGGTTTTATGTATGTGCCACAGCCGCCACAAGCTACTTTATTTTTCTTCCTCTTTTTTCCTTCTGAAAACTGTCAATATACTGGAAAAACACTGTTCATTAATATATATCATTTAAAAATTTGTAAGTACCCCTGTGTGCATTGATATTATTTTGATTGCAGTGGACCTTGTGTATCATATTTGCTTCGAAAACGTGCTCTTTACAATGATATGACAAGGTAATTAATGTTTTATTGCACTTTACTAAAAACACATACATCAAACTTTTGGCACACCTTGTATTACTAATGTTTGGCTGTGTCAGGTATACATGCTGTGCTGGCTATATGCCCTGCAGTGGCCGATGTGGAGAGAGCCGATGTCCTGAAGTGTGCCTTGCTACTGAGGTGAGCTCTACTAAGCTGATCATTCATCTCATAACTTGTATTTCATTTTCATGGCATTTAATTCAATTAGATTATATGCTGCTATGCTGCATATTCCTTGCTCTCTCTCTCTCTCTCTCTCTCTCGTATTAAAGTACTAAATGAGTTGAAATCGTATAAGAATATATATGTTTGATGAAAGAATCGCTCCAGAGGTGTAATATTCTTGTCGTTACTTGAATAGATTGCTTATAGTTTTTCTCCTTTTGCACCCATAGTCTACATGCTACATTTAATTTTATTGCCAATGTTAGAAATATATTCTCTGCAGGCCATTTCCATGATATCATGTTTCTTTTACCTAAAGTCTGGGTCTTGTATTTCAAATGAGTGAAGTCGTTTTGTAAATAATGTCCTAGATTTTGACCTATATTTCTGTTTGTAGTCAATAATGGCCTAAGAACTCATCAAATCTAACGCGATAAAAACCTTTTCTTTCAAATTTTTGTAACTTGGGTATCATGTTTTAGGCAATATTTTACTTCTTCTATAAACCATGATGATTCCCATTTTTTCAATGCATTAATCTTTTTCATGATGTGCTTGTTACTCAATGGAGTGTATCTTTTACATGTTCAGGTTTTTCTTTGCTTTGGAAATTCAGTGGCTTCAACACGATTTTTGCTGCAAGATGAGTTCAACATACAAACAACAAAGTGTGATAATTGCATTATTGTACTTTCTCTCCCCCTCTCCACGCTTGAAGTCTAACAACCAATACCTATGCATTTCTTTTATCATTTTTAGCTACCTTTCTATTTTTCATGTTATTCTGTTCTGATAATTAGTACTTCGTGTAGGGCTTCATGTTCTGTCTCCAACAGCTTGCTTGCATTTTCTCTATAGTCGCAATGATTGTTGGAAGTGATGAGATTCAGGAGGCTTCCCAGTTACTATCTTGCTTGTCTGATATGGTCTACTGCTCGTAAGTTTCTTTTTTCTCTCCATTTCATTAAATTTATGTAACTTGTTTCATGTAGTAACAAATTCAATAACTTTACTTCAATTATTTTTTTGTGCAGGGTTTGTGCCTGTATGCAGGTAAACTATGATTTACTCTCGCCCCTGCTTGATTTTAGTTTTAAATGCTTCTAATATATCTGTACTATCAAGGAACTTGGGATTTCTGAATAGTTGTATATAGCTGTATTTGCACATGTTAAATGATTCACATGTTGATTTTAAAATATCAAAATTGTAAAGGAAAATGACAATAACAAATATCTCAACCTATGGCCATGTCATCATCATTTCCATACGTGTTGAAACATTCTATGATGTGACAAGTATAGAATTTTCATCCATTATACCTTCTTGATACAGATGATGAGTTTAGTTTAAGTTTAGTTAAATTTACCACAAAATGAAAAAACCTATGCTTCCTGATTTTGCTATCAGTTTCATACAGATTTACTTACGCCCGTAGGAATAGGTTTGTTAAAAAAAGGTTTGCTCTGGTTACCCCAGCACTGCCAGGTTATGTTTGTATGAATGAGTTCATAGGAAAAATTTCTCTATCGAATCATATGCTTTTGTTTGAAACATGCAAAATTTGCAGAGAGAAATAGATTTGGAAGAAAAATAAGCAGTGAGTTCAAACCCAATAATGTGATTGTGTATATAAGTTCAAATTCCCTTTACATATTTCTATCTTATAATGATTAAGGAAGGAATTAATGTGTCTAACTTTTTTTTGTTTTGTTAAATGGAGTATCAAATTTAATCATCTCTCATTCATATTTTGAAGGTAATTCCAAACATAAGAAACCTAAGCTACATTATCCATACAATGTTCGTTGGGATTTGAATCATTGCCTGACGTTTAGGAAATAACAATTTGTTAGATGACATAGATATGAACTTATATAGCATTGATGACTGAATGGTGCAGACACAGCACAAGATTGAGATGGACAAGAGAGATGGTATGTTTGGTCCTGGACCGATGGCAGTTCCTCCGGTTCAGCAAATGACACGGTTTGATCAGCCAACGCCCCCACCCGCTGTTGGATATCCTCCTCCACCATATCTATATGCCCAACACCCATATCCTCCTCCTCAACCCCAAGGTTATCCTCCAGCTGCATATCCAAAGTGATATATATATATATATATATATATATATATATATATATATATATATATATATATATATATATATATATATATATATATATATATATATATATATATATATATATAGGTCATCTGAGTATTATATCTTTGCTACCGACCAGGACTTGCTCAGTTTATTTGGCTTATGCATCTTTTAACAATTTACTTATCAAAATTGAGCTGGGTGTATATCTATAAATATAGACCTTTATTCCTATGATATGAAATTGAATTGGGTCATGTGTGCTGAGTTGTTCTCTGTAGATTCTTGTGTGTGAACATGATAGGTTGTATGTTTGATTTTATTTCAAATATTGTCCTGAAATGCCATTGGTTTGCTTCGACATCAAATGCTTGCGTTTTATTCGCGGTCAATCAATAGTCAATAGCATTTACGTACAATGACATTTTTGTAAAGCTTTTTGTTATGTTTTTGTTTTCATAAAAGTTAGTACTATTTTATTTATTAGTTATTTAATATTCTGTAAACTAGTATTTAACGTTGCACGGGGTTGAACAATTTGTTTTTTTACTCACTTAATTTTTTTCTTAGTTAATGATAATAAATAAGAAATAAGAAATATTTGCACTAAATAGCACTAAAATTTAAATCGTTTCCTTAAATAGCACTTAAAATGTTTTGTTCCCTAAATAACACTTAATAATGCCATAATGTCTAGTGATAACAAATACGTAGTATTTATTTGAATAATGACTAATGCACAATGACTAAAAGTGTTACATTAGGAAGAAAAATACATGTGATGCTATTTAGAGAAAATCATTATATTTTAGTGCTATTTAAGTAAATTCCTCTATAAATAAATCGAATTATAATATTGAACTGTAGAACTTAATGGGAGATATACCATAAATATGTGATATTCGAAATTCATATTCATATATACACAAAACAAAAAGAACATGTGAAGGTATAATTTTAAATCCAAATCTTTTGGAAAACATGAGGGCATACAATATTTTTTGTTTTGTTGCAAGGGTTACCGTTATCATAAAAAACTAACACTTTTAATCTTGTCTTTGTTTTCACTCTTGAAATTGAAATATAAAGTTGTCTTCTTTGAAACCTCAATGGTAATCAAGGATCAGACGGTATCAAATTAATCTGGAGTATGTAAACTTTTTCCCCGGCATTATTTCCTAATAAAAACAATTGCACCGATAACATTTCTTCGCAATTCTTCAACGATGGAGTGTCGTTTGGATTACAAGACTGATTACATGGAGTGTCGTTTCAGCGGCAGGGAAACAAAATCAGAGGTGGAAGTTAGGATTGACTCTCACCTAGTACCTAAGGTAGACAGGTTTCGATATCTTGGCTCGGTAATCCAGGCTGATGGGGAGTTAGACGGGGATGTTGGACATCGTGTTGGAGTGGCTTGGGCCAAATGGCGGTTGGCTTCAGGGGTATTGTGTGACCCGAAGATTTCGCCCAGGATGAAAGGCAAGTTCTACCGATCCGTAGTCAGACTTGCTATGTTANCAGGGAAACAAAATCAGAGGTGGAAGTTAGGATTGACTCTCACCTAGTACCTAAGGTAGACAGGTTTCGATATCTTGGCTCGGTAATCCAGGCTGATGGGGAGTTAGACGGGGATGTTGGACATCGTGTTGGAGTGGCTTGGGCCAAATGGCGGTTGGCTTCAGGGGTATTGTGTGACCCGAAGATTTCGCCCAGGATGAAAGGCAAGTTCTACCGATCCGTAGTCAGACTTGCTATGTTATATGGGGCAGAGTATTGGGCGGTTAAGAAGACTCATGTGCGTCGTCTGCATGCGGCGGAGATGCGGATGTTACGATGGATGTGTGGGAAGACAAGGGTTGATAGGATTTCGAACGAAGTTATCCGACGTCAGCATGGCGCCGGTGGAAGATAAATTGCGGGAAGCGAGGTTGAGATGGTTTGGTCATGTGAGACGGCGGGATGCTGACGCCCCTGTACGGAGATTTGAGCGGATTACGGTTATCGGGGGAAGTAGGGGAAGGGGTAGACCTAAGAAGAATTGGAAGGAGGTGATTAGACATGATCTAGGACTTCTCACCCTGACTGAGGATATGACTTTAGATAGGAGCCTTTGGAGAACTAGGATTAGAGTAGCTGGTTAGGAACTCGGTACTACAGAGGTTTTTTGTAGTGTGTTGTGTTTGATTGGAATCTTCTATTAATGTTTGTAGAACTTTCTTTTCATTGTACTTGGTGTTTTACCCATGCTATACTGTGTACCCTATCATTTTTTTGTGCAGGTTGAGCCGGGGGTCTCTTGGAAACAGCCTCCCTGCTTCCGAGTAGGGGCAAGGTCTGCGTACACACACCCTCCTCAGACCCTACTGTAGTGGGATCCAACTGGGTTGTTTGTTTTGTTCTTCAACGATCTACCATGTACCATTATACGTGGTATATTATACTCGTTGATTCTCTTAGTTAAATAAATATTATTGTTATTTACTTGTTGTCCAAAATTGCATAAGTTGCCCAGAAAAAGGTAAAGTGTGATAATATATTTGAGCTAGAGGGCATACTATTTAACTACGTATAAAAAGAGTTTTTTTATACGTAGTATATTATAGGAAAAATGTTAAGGGTACACGAAAGGTATACCCCATTTGTCCTCCACCCCCTCCTCCACCACATAAATGAGCAAAAAACTTATAAATAAATAAATAATTAAAAATAAAATAAAAATGTGTGGTGGAGAAGAGGGTGGGGGACAAATGGGGTACACCGAAGGTGTACCCCTAGCATTGCTCATGTTATAATTATTGATTCTCTTTTTATATGTGGAGGAGCTTGAAATATGACTTGAAAAAAAGTCAGAACTAAAATAATTTCGTTAAATGTTGTTGCTTTGTAGTTGGAGGTAGGGGTGTATACGAATCGAATCGAAGCAAATATTTCACTATTCGATTCGTATTCGATTAAAGTGATATGTATTCAAATTCGGATTCGTATATAATTCGAATTTTAAAAAACATTCGTATTCGATTCGATAGATATTTGACGTGTTTGAATTCGTATTCGAATATTAGAATTTGAAAATATTAGTATTTTTTTCTTAAAACAGATTTCTTAAAGACATTAAATTATTATTTTATAGTAATGTAAAATGTAGTAAAAATATGTTAGAATATATATATTTTTATTTATAAATTACAATATTCGAATATATAAAAATTTATATGTACACAAATATTTAATATATTAGAATATATATAAATTTATTTATAAATTATAATATTCGAATAATTCGAATAATAAACGAATTGAATCTATTAATATTTGTATTCAAATTCGAAAATAATTCGAATCTAAAATATGATTTGTATTCGGATTCGAATTAGAATATAGCGAATACGAATCATCCTTTGCGAATACGAATCACGAATCGAATACATTTTATTTGATTTGTATGCACCTCTAGTTGGAGGGTATTTTAATTTTTTATGCTTAAATTTTTTACCACCAATTAATACTCTGTAATATTCATACTATCTCATTTTTTTAATATGAGAAGAGAGATAATATAAAGGAAAGTAATGAAAAAACGTATTTAGTATCTGACTAATATTTGATATTTTTATTAAAAAAAGAAATAAAATATAAATTTATGAAACTAATGTTATATACATTTAAAGAAAAAGTATCTATAACGTTGTTTTTTTAATTTTTATGCATTTACTTCTTGAAAACGTATAACACCTTATTCCTGATTTTTATTTACTGACTTTTGTTTTTTCCCAATATCTTTACAAATAAAAAAAATCGTAGATACCAAATATTTCTGTTATTTTTTCTAATGCGAGATGTTGAGTAGGTAAGAATAAAAAATTGTACATATTAAAAACATACATACTAAACATTAAAAAAAATTCAGTGCGTAGAATTAGTTTATTTAAATTTTTCATGTTCAAACTATTTAATCCTAAATGATATTAGTAAATCCAACTCCCTTTTTTATTAATGAAAAGAAATGAAAAAATCATGGTAATTAGTACCTTTTCATTAAATTGATTTAAAAAACGAAAACAATGAAATTTAAAATTTAAGAAAATAACATTAATCTATGTTATGAAAATATGGAGCATATAAATGGTGAACGTATACTATATGAGTAAGGATATTGAATTGAGTATATATTCTTCAAACATGCAATCTTTTTTATAATACCAAATGCCATAAAATTTTGTATTTTAAATACTAAACAACAAACAATCCAAAAATTATAAATTATAAACTGTGTGACACATAAATCAATCCAAAAAAAAAAACAATACTCTCAGGCTAACATAAAATATATATTCCTAATTTTTCTCTATTATAACAATCTTCATCTTCTTGCTCGACTCATCCCGGTCTCCATCACAATGTTTCACCTCTATCATTCTTTTGTTGATAGTAGAATCGGTGATATCATCTCCATTTCGTTCAAATTGATTATTCTTTGATTCTACAAATTCTTCAATCAAATTCTGCAAGACGAAATCCCAAAAACTAATGACTCACAAATTTTATAATCATGAATAAATGACTCGCAAATTTTATCTATATACATTTTTCACTATGATGTACCAAGGTGTGTGTGTAAGAAAAGAGTGTTTTATTAAGTAGAAAAAGAGATATTGAAACCAAATCCCCTAAACCAAGAAAATTGAAAAAAAGAAGATTTAATACCTTGAAAAAGTGTTGAGGGAAAAAACAAAGTAAAAAGAAAGCAGAATTCCAATAAACTACGGAGTAATAAATTATACTTCAATTAATGCAAATTCTCAAAGGAGATTAGCACTGCAACATTGCCGAACAAACTTTGCATCCCAAACCAATTAGTAAACAAAAATGCTAGGGGTACACCATTTGTGGTACCCCATTTGTACCCCTCTCCATCTCCACCACACAAAGCAAAAGAGAAAAAAAATTAAAAATAAAAAAATAAATGAAGGGCTAGGATGCATGGTGTACAAAATGGAGTACCCCAAATGGGGTACCCTAGCATTCCTCGTTAGTAAAAACTTAACCTAAAAAAAGTTAGATTTCCTCACATCAAAACTCTCAAGTAATGTCACGAGATGAAAAACTTTTGACCTCCGTCTCAACACTATCGGATACTCCACCTAGTCATTATTCATTGAAAACCACTTAGGCCCCGTTTGGTACACGGAATTCAAACTATGGAATTGGAATTGAGTGCTTCAATTCCAATTCTGGTGTTTGGTAGCACAAAAATTATGTGGATTTGGAATTGATAGTGCAAAAAATGAATTGGAATTGGCAGAATTCAATTCTATGGAATTGAATCCCATGGAATTTCAATTCCAATTCAATTCCAATTCCATCAATTCCGTATACAAAACGGACCCTTATCTTCTCTATTTATGAT